GGGAAGGAATGAAAAACTATAAAAACGGTTTTTGATGGATTAATTCTTAACATGTTCATTCGACACCAGGAACTTATATTATGTAGATCCACGTTAATGTTTCGTTGTAGCTCATCGACATTGTTAGCATAAGTAAAAATGGTCGTGTCATCTGCATATAAGATACAATCTGTAGCGGTCAAAACATTAGGTAGATCATTAATAAATAGCAAAAAGAGCAGCGGGCCAAGGATCGAGCCCTGAGGAACACCTTAATTTACTTTCTTAGCTGCTGAAACTTTACCGTCAATCTGAACAACTTGAGTGCGATTGCAGAGATAACTAGATATAAATTGAAGTGCAGGGCCAGTTATGCCATACGATTCAAGTTTATGTATAAGAATTTTGTGATTAATTGTGTCAAAAGCTTTCGTTAAATCTATGAATACACCACCAACTACGAAGCCTTGGTCGATTGCCCCTTTTATTTTATCGGTGAGGGTTAGAAGCGCAAGCTCAGTGGAATAGCCAGGCCGAAAGCCGTACTGTTTAGATGTCAACAGATTAAACTTTGTCAGGTAGGATATTAATCTTGTATGCATAAGACGCTCGATTATTTTGCTGAAAAATGGAAGAATACAAATGGGCCTATAATTACTCAGAAGTTCGCGATCACCTTTTTTGTGAACAGGTGTTATTCTACCAACTTTTAGGGAATCGGGAAATATGCCTGCTTTAAACATCTTGTTAACAAAATCTGCAATGACAGGAGATAGCTCACTAGAGACTAACTTGATGTGGGATGGATGAACAGAGTCAAGACCAGGTCCCGTGGACCTGAGCGAAGTTATAACACGAAGAACTTCCTCTGCACTCGTTGGTCGCAAGAAGAAAGAATAAGGCTGGCGAGGTAATGTTGGTAATGGGGGATTTCTCAGAGATTCACAGGTACTGCTAAAATACTCACTGAACGCATTGGCGATATCAGTTGGATGGCTGTATGTTTCTGCTTCAGTTCTAATTTTCGTTATCTGCTCACGACATTTATTATTTAAGAATTCGTTTATGACCTGCCAGTTGCGCCTCGTATCATTGCCATTATCCAAAATTTTTTTCTGAAAGTATTCTCGTTTTGCACATTTAAGTGCGGCTGCAAGCGTGTTGGAATATTTCTTGAAACGAATTTTAAGTTCAGAGTTAAATGGCTCACAAGACACTCTTTTGTAAAGTTGGTTTTTCTTCAAGATACAACGAAGTAGCGCCCTTGTAACCCAAGGTTTTCTGGGATTACTGAAATGACGAGCTGTGATGTGTACCGTCGTGCATTCGTTAATGCATTGTGTAACTGTAGTCAAAAATAGCTGATAAGCCTTTTCAGCGCAGGATTCACTTATTACGACGGTCCAGTCAATTGATTGTACCATAGATACGAATTTTTGAGAATTAAAAGATATCCTCTCTTTGTTTTCCTTACACTTGTAATTTTCTGTGCCCAAAGTCAGGAATATAGGGTAATGATCCGTTATGCTGTGCTCAATGACTCCTTCTGTATTGTCTGTAGCAAAATTGGTTAATATGTGGTCAATTAACGTACTAGATCCTGCTATGTCACATCTGGTGGGAGTGGTTATTAAAGATTCAAAACCGTAGCCATGTAAACACCCGAGATAATCAGAACATGACTGATTAGTAGGGTCGATAATGTTGACGTTGATGTCTCCGCAGATGATGATATTTTTGTTTTCGTTCGTAATAGTGTGCAACAACTTATCGAACTGAAAACAGAACTCAGACTGTGAAGATGCTGGCGAACGATAAATGCACCCTAATACTGTGTTCCGGCCATCGACTGAGAAAACACTCTTGTCAAATTCTATCCATACAGATTCACAGAACATATTAGAAAACGCAAGGTCATTGCGGCGTTTGTATGACAATGACGATTTAATAAAAACGGCGGATCCACCGACCCGTGGTGTAGCACGATAGCAGTACTCTGCATTGTATCCTGATAGCGCATACAAGTTTCTGTCGTCCGGCGACAACCACGTCTCAGACAAACAAATAAATGAGAAATTGTGATTAATTAAAGAAAGAAATGCAATGAGACTGTTGTGGTTTTTACGTAGGCTGCGAATATTCAAATGTATCAGTGATAGTTTTGGGTCTAAACGAAATGATCTAATAAAGTGGCTCTGCGTATTCCTGATCTCCTGTTGCTTATCCTTTGTAATAAGCCGACTACCCGAACACCCTAAATTTGCCGCAATATATTCGATGTGGTTTCGCCATGCTAGAGATCTGTAGTATATCACTCCTAGATATTTGATGACTTGCACTTGTAGAGTGGTATCAGTTTTGTAGGAGAGATGTGTATACTGGGTCTTTCATCGGAAATACTAATAATGCAGACTGGTTCACGTTTAGAGATAGATGAATAACGTCGAGCCAGTGCTCTATTTCAGATAAGTACATCTGGAGGTTTTGATAGAGAGCGTGAATGTCTTGAGCTTACGAAAAGAACGCGATATCGTCAGCATATACATACGTCTGAACATTCTCATTGCATGAAATCGAGCCTATTAAAATATTGAATAGTACCGGAGAAAGAACAGCGCCTACGGTACTCCTTTTTCCTGTTTATGGGACTCCATGAAGCCTCGCAAGGTCCTTTTAATAATACTGTAATTTATGTACGTAAGTTTTCTAGAAGGAACAGATATTAGTGGGCACACAATGTCAAATCTAACTGGAATGTGATCGCTATTAGTCGCACTGTGAACAGTCGACCAAGATGAGATGCCAAGGCCTGATCCCGAAAAAGTTAAGTCTAAAGATGAGGATGGCATTCCTCTGATAAAAGTGGGGATACCCGAGCTATGACAAGTGAGACAATCACCTTGAGACCAGTCCCATAAGCGAGTACCGCACGAGTCTGTCGTTAAGCCCCAAGTTAAGCGATGGGGAGTTCAAGTCTCCCGCCAATAGGACATTGTTACCGCTAATAGAAATTACACTATCCAAAGGGTTTGTGTCATGAACCCCTGACGGATAATATATATTTGCTATGTGAAATGTTCTACCTGAAGGAAGACTCAAAGAAATTGCTAAAATTTCGTACTCCGGCGACAGAAGCTGAAGCGTTATTTTTGCTTTGTGGCAAAATCTGGTAAAGACTGAAGTAACCCACACCCTCTTTACAATCGATCTAAACGAAATGATCTTTAATTTTTTAATGAAAATACTAATCTGGAACTAACCAAGTTTCTTGTGCCAATATAATATCCGTGTTTTTTAACAATGAGACAAGATAATTTGTGGAAGCTCTAAAAATAGAACGACAATTCCACTGTAAGACTTTTAACGGCTCAATGGTGGGATATACCAACAGTCGAAACAACCTTCTCTAGTATGCTGGCCTTTACGATCTTGCTAGGCGGAGCCATTTTTGCTTCAGTCTGTGACGACACGGAAGAAGGGTTTAAGGGAGATTGGCTACGTTTGTGGGCACGTGACTCAATTTCAACACCATTGTTGACACTGAGGTCTATAGTAGGGAAGTGACATTTTATATCTGTAGGCTTAATAACCACCCGAGTGTCTTCTCGGAGCACTTTATCGTCTCTCGTGCTGCATCCTGCCTTCTGCTGAGATGTCAGCGTAGAACTTGTCGGAGGAGAAGCTGCTGAGTTATTCATCAGTTGAGTTAACTGAGCGCTCATTATCTCATACAGACATTCTGAGTGGCTGGTGAATAAGCCGTCAATTGCTTACTATACTGCCTTTTCTACTGCGGCCTCAATTGTTTGAGCAAAGCTAGCGTCTGCCATTGCATTTTGTCGATTCGCAATCCCAGCATACCCTTGTGTCCTTTCCTTGATAACTGTCATTGCTTCTCTCCTTGAGCATCGTCGTCTCATTTCACTCTGATTTTCACTCACGCTGATTTTCACTCAATTAAAAAAGAATGGAAGCTCCTTGGTGGTATCCAAACACGCCACCTTCGAACTACGCGTCCGATCCTCTAAAATGCGAGGTACCGTGGAGGGTACTCCACCGTCCACATTTATGCAGGGTATTTATGTGTGTTTAATACCTGAGGGTGGGGGGTTAGCCAGCACCACTCGATGCGCAGGAGATAGATAGATAGATAGATAGATAGATAGATAGATAGATAGATATATAGATAGATAGATAGATAGATAGATAGATAGATAGATAGATAGATAGATAGATAGATAGATAGATAGATAGATAGATAGATAGATAGATAGATAGATTTATTGACTGATTTATTGTCGTGGCGCCTGTTTTTCTCTTCTATGTTGATCTTAACATTGTGGCGCCTCCCTCCTGCCTACTCCGGCCCGCTTGTCCTCTGAATTATTTCTCCTTCACAAAAAAGTTCCCGCTGAATAATCCACGCAACGAACGCGCGACCACGAAACCGCCCCCACGCGGCGCGAACCGCCCGTCTCCACGTTGTGGGAAATGCCCTCGGCGACCTCACTTCCTCACTAGTCCCGTTCTCATTGCGCCTCATCCTCCTCCTCGCTTGTTGACAAGACGAGAGCTCATCGTCGTGCTTGTGTCGCAACAACGGCGGGTGCCGCCATAGCTCTCCACGCAGCCCCCCCCCCCTCTCTCCCCCACTGCCCCAACGCAGCCGTGTTTGCGACCTCCCCCAAACCCGGAGCGCGCATATAGCCTGAAACACACACAGACAGGCAGGCGCGCTAACACTGAAAAAAGCGCGCGCATCGTTTACGCACAAGCGTCGCTCTCGAGTCTGACACCGGAGGGACGAGAGAAAGAGGGAAGGTGAGAGAGGAGGAGGAAATGAGAGGCGAAGGAACTGTCGTCTTCTTCCTTCCCTTCCCAAGCTGTCAGAGTTAATGGAGTTCTGCCCCTGATTAATACGGGCCGGCTTGTTCGTTTCGGGGTGCGGAACCGCCAGAGCCCGCCCCTTCGTTCTTGCCCGACAGAGCAAGCAGCCCTGCAGAAACGGTTAATGGCGAATTCCATTGAGAGAACAGGAGTAAGGGTGCCGAGCAGAGAGGAGTAGGGGGCAGAGCACTGAGAGCCGCGTCACTCGACCTGCCACTGGAATGCGGCACACCTCCGCAGAGCAGGTGTGAGGGAATAAAAAGGCGAGTGAGGAGAAAGGTTGTGCATCCCAGCGTCCTCTGCTGCAAAACACGTGCGGTCTGATCCGGACGGGCAAGGAAAGCACGTGTGGCAGTGGTTGGTACAGCGCACTCGCTTGCGCGCTATCCTGCAAAGCTGCTGCTTCGTATACTACTACATGATGGACTCGGAAGCTCAGCGCATCCTACTGTCTTTAATTCAACACCAGGCACCATCTAGTACGGAAGGTAAAGTGAATTTGATTGCTTTTTATTGTTTCAGCGCACTTGTCGCGCATGCAGCATGCAATGCATTCTTGCGCGCGTGGACCTAAGCCCACTATTCTTTATCATATCAGAAAAACACCGTGGATATGACAGCTTTATCAGACTGTTCATGCAGTTACCAGCTGCTGCTGTCATCAGCAGTTAACAAAACGTAAACAATTCTAGAAGTACTGCAGTACACTATCCTGTTGCCAAGTTTCCTTGCATGAGTAATTAATCCTTAATTCAAAACAAACTTACATTGCAGACCCCTCCATCAGCAACAGAATGATTCGCAGCGTTTTAAGAAAAGTAACTGCGAAGTGGCGTGTAGCAAGTGTCACGTGGGTGCAGCTAAGTATTGCACGCAGTAACAATTTATTTTTATTTCTGATTTTTAAGTGGCTAATGTCTCCAGACGGCAGATCAGCATCCCACGTGATACGGTGAAGCCATACATCTCCTCGGAAGCACGATTTCTTATCGCAGGGTCGAGATGCTACGTATGATAAGCGATATTTTTTTTAATTATCAGTGATTTGTGCAGTGTTTCATGCAGCCCTGTAACATGATGAATTGACTTTTTTAGAATTTGTTTTTTGCTTGCTCTAATCCGCTTACCTTCGAGTGTAAGGCATCCGAGTTTGCATAATGTAGCTGACTACTTGAGAAACCATTTTCATTATATAACTGATTTGATTACATTTCCATCATTGTGTGAAAACAGATGCAGTTCTGCGTACAAATATGGCTGGCGATGTGCCAAGGCGAGGGAGCGAAGAAATGCGCATGGAGCTCAGATTGCCATGCGTTGAAACAGGAGGTGGTAAGTATTAGTATTAACATTATTGCGAGGCACTACATTTACTGCTCATTTATATTTTTTAGATGGCACAGATACTCTGCACCTGCCAGCTCCCACTGCATCAAGATCAGCTGACGGGGAGACTGGTGCTCAAAGCAAGCCATCAGGCTCCAGGAGAGGAGGTGGAGGCAAGTATATTAACACTGAGTGTCTACAATTGCCTCAGCAAGTGTTCTTGGGTAAATCTAACAAGCATGCATCAGAGCGTGTAAAAGTGTACTTGTAGGAGTGATCCTTAAATGACAAAAAAAAAAAGAGAGCATGGAAAGCAGACCACTACAATTACTGGAAGACTGGCACAATTTGCATATTGCATTTACATGCACAATACCAGAACTTATCACTTATGTATGTTTGCTAGTCTGCGCAAATGCTTGTTTTGTTGATTAATGCTTGCTGATTGATAATTAAGCTCAAGTGACCGTGCTGTGTGTTAAATTATTCAATTATAAGTAATGCCTGCACAATGACCGACAGTTTCCCAATAAACCATTTATGTGTTGGTTCTTTCTTATTCTAGCTGCTGAATGGACAGAGGGGCAAACAAGGCTGCTCCTAGAGTACTACCTCAAATATTTCCCTCAGATTGGCCCATTTAAAAAATTCAAAAACAGGAAGCAAGCCTTTAAACAAATATCGATGGACATCGAGGCTGTGCTTGGCATAGCCAAAACCCCAGAACAGTGTGAAAATAGGTACAAAACAGTAATTAGGCGTCGGAAGGCGTCTTCCGACCATAACAAAAGGTCTGGTGCTTCACCCACCCCTGTGCCTTTTGACGACGAGGTGAAAAAAATTGAAAGCATTGATGACAGCATTGAACCGGAGGTAGAGCGAGACGCCTCAGGGCTACATTCAAAGCCTCGCCCGAATCTCCGGCCGTGTTGTCACCTGCCAACACCACTGAGGAAAATAAGACGCAGTCCTCAAATCCCGACACGAAGCCACGGGTAGGAACTGCACGCCTGGCACACATGCAGTTGTTTTTTACTGAAATGAGGGCACTGCAAGAAGAAAAGGAGGCTCAAAAGGCGGCCAGACGTCAAGAAAAAGAAAATCGAAGAGCTGAAAGGCAGGCCGAGCGACAGGTGCTTCGTGAAGAGCGGCGCAAAATGCATGAAGAAAAATGGAGATTCTCCGTCAGGCCTTTGGACTTCCAAAATAAAGTGGTAGTTTTAAATAAATAAACGTACTACCCAAAGCGATTACTTAGTTTCAATGTCTTTTATTTTCTAGTTTGGCACAATACACTACCTTGAGAAAATGCAAATGGGCCAACAGGTGTGTGGTAAGGACAATTTTTCCCAACCTTGAAGGTGTTTTAACGAGTTCAGCTTTTCAGGTGGGCCTTTGGTAAGCATATATTTGCTCACAACTGCATAACACGTAAAGGAATTCCTTGTTTCATGGCTGCTGGTTCTGCAACCCCATTTTTATCATCAAGTGATCTCTCTTGATGCTAGCCAAGCCACGTAATAGGCTATCCTGTTGGGCTACACTACTGCTGCTTACTTGAACTGCAGAAGAGCTTGAGTCTACATTTGTTGTTTGTGAGGTAAGTGACAGGTCTCGTGACAGGTTCTCTGGCAAATCTCCACAATCAATGCAGAGGTTGTGAAGCACACAGCATGAAATGATAAACTTGGACATGTTATCCACTGTCCACATATCCAACCTGTGCAGTTGTCTGAAACGATTTTTTAAATCGCCAAAAGTATTTTCAATAAGCACCCTTGTCCCGGAGAGTCTTGCATTGAAGGTTTTTTTGATGCTGTCAAGATTCCCATAGTCTCGAATTGGTGTCATCAGGTACTCCCGGAAAGGATATGCAGCATCCCCCACTATATGGTACTTGCTAGAGCACAGTTGTGGCAAAACACTTGAAATCCTGGACCGACGGAAAATGCGTGCGTCATGAATTTTGCTTGGGTAGCCAGTGCTGGCATCAAGAAACCTCTTCTTGTTGTCACAAACACCTTGAAGTGTCAAGGATAGGTAATGGTGCCGGTTTATATAAACAGATCGCACTTTCCTGGCTGGGCACCTGATAGGCATGTAGCTTCCGTCAACACACCCAATTGTGTCTGGGAATCCCGACAGCTGCAAGAGAAAAAAATGTGCACACACATAGTCAAATAAGCATGGCACTAAGGGTAATGAAAGGTGCCAATAACATGCGGAAAAGTTTAAAACAAACTGGAGACTTGAAGCTCATAACGGCGAGTGCAATACACTACCGGTACACATGATTGAAATTAACTGGCTATTTAATTGTGAAGCATCTGGGAAAAATAATTGTAATAACTTATTTAAAAGGTGCATTCTGGCACTAACTAATTCATAATTGTAATAGTAGAGCGGTAAAGAACACATGGGACCGCACGAAGGGGAATTAATGACACATACAGAGTACATACAGAGTGCACAAGTAACTGAACTCTAGGTTTATTCACTGTACATGCAGGACAAGTACTAGATGTACATCACTAAGCAGAAGATGGGAAAATAGAAGAGATATGAAACAGCATCACATGGTCAAAACTACTCAAGAAAAATGTCCGATTGCTGACAGCATTTGTAATACACATGAAGGAGGCTTGACTGTGTGGTGCTCTTTCATATCTCTTGCATTTTTACATTTTCTGTTCATTTGCAGTTCTGATCCTGCATATCAGTTGCTTTCAGTCCTTATTGTGGTTTGAGTAGGTGTAATTCCTCTTAGTCTGGTCCCTTGAGTTGTGTAGAGCTGTATGACATTGGTGTGAAAAAAACTGTAGTTTATACCTTAAATAGCATGTTTACAAAAGCATAGTTACCTTCTCAAAATCCACAGCAAGCTTCTGCAGGTCACTGGGGAACTTGATTACATTCGGTGCTATGTCGAGCAGGAATGCAGTTACTCGGCCCATCATTCTGTGGTGAGTGCTTTCTGCGACTTCAAAGCGGCCAGCGACATCTCTAATGCATGCTTTGTTGGCTGCATACCTGAAAAGGAGAGGATACTCTAATTAAATAATGGAATTAAGCTTGCTGTTGCTGTCAATGACTGAATAATGGTGTTAACAATGCTGTCGCTGTCAATGAAGCAAATTAGCAAGACAACTGAAGTCAGAAAACACGATTCCACCTTTTTGGGTGACACCTTAGAAACTCAAAATATTGATTAGTAGAAGCACTATCTAAATAACAAATTCTAATTTTAATTCGCGCATTACATTTATAAGTGTGGAGATGAAGCTCACTGTGAACCTGCTGACACAGCCGATTTGAAATGCTTCGTGAGCAAAAGTTTTCATGGTTGTTTGTAATGATGCATCATGAATTATGCTTTGCCACTGATTCTAGTAACGAGAATTTTGTGAAGCTCAGTGTGTAGGTGTACAAACTACGAAAGCATTTCACAAAATACTATAACTCTATTACGTTCGACACTCGCTAGTAGCATTTAACAAGTTTAAAGCAAGGTGGTCCAATGACATGCTGCGAATTAGGTACATTATTTGCAATATTTCATATGCCTCTAACCCACTATAAAACGGATTATGCAGTGACCTGATGACAGCGGCATTCCTAAACGTACGGACACTCACCAAAGAAAGGAGAGAATGTGTTCTTCAGCCGACTTGGCAGGCAGGCCACCATGATCACTGTTCTGAGGGCAGTGCGGTGACTTGGCGAATTCTGCTGCCAAGAAGTCCACGACCGGCCGCGTGACGCGGAAATTTCTTTTGAACTGGAAGAAAACAGGCCTTTAAGCAACCTAATTAAAACAGAAGCCGAATGACTCACCTCCTCGTCGGAGTAGCTAGCCACCGTCTTTGTAACATATGCTTCCACTTTCGGCCTTCGCTCTGGCAGAGAAAAGAGCTGCTGAAACGCTGCTGCATACACTTCGTCGTCATCGTCGCTGCTGCTTGAACTCGACTCGGACGTAGAGCTCCAGCAGCTATCGCTGCTGACATCGTCTAGCTCGTCAAATACTTCGGCAAGACGACGACGTTTTGCTGCCTCCGCCATCCGTGAATCTGAAGGCAGGCAAGGTGGACGTTCACTGCCAGAATCTGCCGCTACGACGTTAAAATCGTTCGAGCCCGAGCACCACGCACGCTTCGCTGCCGCCATAACCGCCCGACACGACGCCGCAAAATGTAAACAAGTGAGGAGGATTGCTGAGAGGGTATGTCCGGACATGACGTTCCAAACACGTGGTTTCCTGCGTTTTCCACTCACTCCGCTTTTTAAGAGGGAGCAGACAGAACTGCTCCTGGCTGCTCTCGGCGCAGCAAAAGCGCTCTCGCTCTACCAATGGATGACAGTGCTCCTACTCCTGTTCGACCACTGAAACACGCCGCCTCGGAAGAGAGCACTTTGAGCGTGCTTTTGAGTGCACCTGCTCTCCCAATGGAATTCGCCATAAGTAGTTCTCGAATGCCAGCGCCCTGCTCTTGCGAATGCGCGCGCGTACGCACACACGTCAAACACGTGCGCACACGAGCTGGCACACACACACACGTCGCAGGAAAAAGAGTCTACGGACAGAAAGACCTCGTGTGCGTGTGTGGGACGGGACCTCGTCGTCGCATATAGCTTCTTTCTTTGCAGCGTTGTTGCAAGTTGCCGGTTGCTTCACTCGCGCGATGCATGCCCCGCAGAAGTTACGATTCCTACTTTTTTTCCCTCTCTCCTTCATTCTCTTGTCTGTCACTCCCCTCCACATCTGCGTTGGAGAGGGCATCTTCGTGGGAGACAAGGAGAGGGAGGCATATTCTACATGATTGTGAAGCCAATCTTCGTCGTTCCGAAAAAAAAAAAACTAATTACAGCTTTTGTAGCTTTTTGCCAGGCTCTCCTCGACATCAACGGTACATTTCTGTTGCGGTGAAGTAATAAACTAGATCGTGCATATATGTGTACGTAAGAAAAAGTGCTAACGAAATATTCTGTTGCCCTGTTGGATAGAAGGTTCCCTCGTCGAAGGGTTGGCTCCAGCGACGTTCTTCGTTCAACGACTCCTGACGAGCATTTCATTTTTTACCGATGTTATCCGTCACGTTTGGATTCGGGGGGGGGGGGGGGAGTGGTTATGTTGTAAGAAGAAAAAAAAAAGAAAAGTGAGCCCCCGTAACTGCCTGCTTCAGGGAGTGACACCTCAACAGTAGCTCACAAAGGATGGGGGTGAGGAGGGATTAAAATGGTAGGAATAAAGGTGTAGAAAAGAGAAAGAGGCGTGAGGTGGTAAGCCAGAGAGAGCGACGACAAATCAAGGGCATAAGAGAGATAGGAAAGATGGGAACACGGTCGCAGGAGTCCGGGGACGGGGCATCACTTGCGAGAGCTCTTGTCGGCGTCTGGAGATGGCGTAGGGCAAGTCCAGTCGGTCAGAGCTACGCTGTCGTCGGAGATCGGCGTCAGGAGATGACGTAGGGCGAGCCCAGTCGGTCAGAGCTACGCTGGCGTCGGAGATCGCGAGTGCACAACCGGTCGGCACGGAATCCAGCGAGCGAGTCCCTCGTTTGGATTCACTAGCGTGCGTGCGTGAATCTTGGGGCCTTTTAGAAATACATGGACGTTCGCTGCAAGAGCTTGCTTTTGCAGCGAATGAATTCACGGCCAAGGAGGTCGCTGTAGTCGGCAACCTGTCGGAACAATAGCTCAAAGAGGCTGGTATATGAGAACTGGAGTATATAGGTCAGGCCTGATATCATATGGGTGGCATATTGCTGGGGGTTTGGCTCACGTCTAAACGTATAACGCAGTTAACAACAACAACAACAACAACAACAATAATAATAATAATAATAATAATAATAATAATAATAATAATAATAATAATAATAATAATAATAATAATAATAATAATAATAATATAATTTATTTCAACCAATGCATAGTTGATGGAGGGGTGAGAATGAAAGCGACTATCCGCTTGACTAAGTTTTCATCTCTCTATATACATAAGGGAGTGTCGGTGGTGGCAACGGAACACCACAGCTGACAAAAGTACACAACATTAACAAAATTAGGAGTTATAAAGCTTTAAACCTCACTGCAGATGGTTGTGCTGAAACACACACACACACACACGCACACACACACACACACACACACAGTGCAAAAACTTATATAAAAATGTGAATCAAAAGTCGCGATATGTAAACCACAAATACACTAAA